GGCGGTATTATGCCGCTAGACCATCCATTGAAGATCGCGGATCAACGAGGATCTAGCGGTAAATCTTCTCGATGTCCGTCATGAGAACATAGCAGTGCCAGCGCCAACATAAGAAGACGTTGGCGAGAACTGGCAGGAGGTTGGCTCCAATGAGCTGGTGCGCGTTCAGTGAGGTGCCGGACTTCGTGCGTTACGACCCGTTGAATACGACACGCAGTTTAGCCGTGGTGCTAGTCTCCTGCAGTACTCCATGGTACGGTAAGTAATATAAAGCGGTGTCTTCTTTCGGCGGTGAGCTAATTTTTTCCATATGTTGCACAGTTTCGTAGTCCTGCATGAAGGAGCGGAATTTACAGATCGCCGAACTGTGCGTCCTGGGGATAGCGACGCTCCATTGCGGACAGCAGACGCTCGGCCGGCTTGCGGGTCTCGGCGAGAGATGGAGGTGGTCCGGAAAACGGCAATCTCACCTGATATCATTTGGATGTGGTGAGGCGGTGAGTAGAGGTGAAGAGTTCTTCGCACTTCTCTTCCTCTGGGGTGAGCGTGGCAGAAGCGAAGGGATTTTTCTCCTGCTCCCAGAAAAGCTGAACCAGCTCGTTCAGCTCGTAATCGATGGAGCATTGGTACGAGTTGTGGCTGCTCTGAAGCGTAGTCCTGTGACCTCCTGACAGGATCCAGCCGAGCGATGGGTTCGTCCTTGCGCCCCTTGCGGAGACTATCTTGAAGAATGGCGGACAAGTCCGCGCTGTCACACTGACCGCCGGGAGGGGAGCAGACATGCGGAGGGCCGTCTCTCACACCTGAGGGGGACCCTTTTTGTCCGAGTCCGTTAAATATTTTTGTAGATTTTCTGTGATATTAACTTTAAGCGAACAAAGCGCGGCAATCTGAGCGGGCAGGCAAGGAAGTTATGTACAGCAAGATCCCGGAGGGTGCAGTTACCGAATACAGAAGGAGGAGAATACCGGACCGATGCTTCCGCAACAAGGTCATGTATCAAGTTCCCACCAAGCCGCCCAAGAGTCACGATTGTGCTAATATCCACTACTTTCAGAAACCGACGGCGGACAGATCCCGTCGAAGCGACAACGAACATCCTCCCAGGCTGCACCTGGGAGGAAGAGATATGAGGAGGAGGTATAATGAGACGGACGAGAACGCGGCCTGGCCAGCCCAACACGTCCGATCTGTCAAAAAGATATCATCGCCTAGGATGCCGTCAACGTCGGATCTTAACTCCTGCCGACGAGCAGAAACCCACCATTCGGTAGTACAAAAGAAGAAGGGACGGAAAAAATCGACTCCCTCTTGCCGAAAATCGACGGAATGCACGGAAAATCAGCGCGGGACTCGATGACCTCACGGAGCATTACTGGTCGATTACTGTGTCGATGAACTATGTCCGTGGGTACACGTATTCAGCAAGGGCACGACCCGACCAGGACCCGGTCATCACAACGATATTGTAAGCCGCTGTCCAAGTAGCCGTAAAACTATCCCGGATACAGCTAGAGTCGTGATCTTTTTCTTGATACTGTCGCGGGGCGATAGTGATCTCGTTACCGAATGGTCGTAGGAAAACCTGCGCACTTTTCTCGCGTTTCGAGCCGGATGCCAGCTGACCCCAGATATCGCGGACTTGTCCCTCTCAGGGAGATCGTCGCCAACAGTCATCATACGTATCGTTTGTACCGTACCGTATCGTATCGTTTCGTACCTTGTCATATCGTTGCGTAGAGCGCCGAATTGCGGATCTCAGTGTGATAACGAAATTCCGGCACTTCCGTATCGCGTAGAGAATAACGGGATTTGCGTGAGGTCGTTGTTCGTAAGTAAGGGCTACCATATACCCGAAACTTCGGCAAGAATTGTACAATTTGCGAAATCTCTGTTCAAAATTTATGTCCATTAACGTTCGGGTTGTTTGATATTGCTTGAGAGTCGAATTTGTTTTCGCCGAGTGCGAAAGGTCGTGGAGATACCGGAAAATATCGAGAGACGATACTCGTACCTGCGCATGTGAAACCTTTAATAATAACCATCGTTACATTAATATGGGGGTTACCACAGATTACCGCCGACTATTATTTGAAGGTCGATCCGATGTATATCATGATCTTTTATGAGGCTCGTGCCTCTTGGCGATTTCCGAAATCACATCCGTATTGTTATATTTCGTCGTTATATTTTACTTTGCCGTAAATTACCGGTTGACTTTACTCATCGTTGTTCGTGATACATTATATTCGTTCTCGTTCCGATCTTATAATTATCTCTTAGTCGCGCGTATCATATGTGTTTGTTTCTGTACCGATTATGACCGATCTTTATGTTATTCGTATAAATCTGATATTCCTTTTCTTTTGGATTCATATTTATCAACCTCGCTACTTGTGTATATTCTATCTTTACTCCGTTCTATTATACTCTTATCGTCTCTGTTATATACTTTATCCATGTACCATAATTGTTCAATATATCAAGCGTCGCAGTAGCGTCGCGACGCCAAGTACATAAAAAACAGGATTAAGCATTGAGAGTCACTATTTTCGACTAAGAGTCACTGTTCTTGACGCGGTGCTATCACTACACAAGTACCTTATCCGAAATTTTGGGTCCTATAAACTTTCGATTAAGAGAAGATGATTTCATTGGATGTTGCTTCTCTATTCACCAACGTTCCAAAAGAATTAGTTTTGAATGCCATAAGAAAGCGTTGGGTGGACATCTCAAAAAATACAAAATTTAATTTGTCACAGTTTTTACATATTATAGAACTGATATTGAACTCAACTTGCTTTTCTTTCAACGGACGTTTTTATGAACAGATCTTCGGCACTCCTATGGGTTCCCCACTATCACCTATTTTAGCAGATATGGTGATGGACGATCTGGAGACGCAATGTTTAAATTCACTTAGTTTTGCGGCGCCTATTTATTATAGATATGTAGATGATGTTTTCGCAATCGTGCCACGTACAAAAATCGACGAGATTCTAACGTTTTTCAATAATTACCATGAACGTTTACGTTTCACACACGAGATTGAAATTGATTCGTCGATCAACTTTCTTAATGTAAAAGTCATTAGGTCAGGCTCTAAACTTATCACTAATTGGTTTAGGAAACCTACATGGTCTGGTAGATATATTAACTTTTATTCGAATCACCCGCTTAAGTATAAAATTAATACGATTTACAATTTAGTCGACCATGCTGTTTTATTATCTGACGATTGCTTTAAGCAAGATAATATCAAACTAGTTTATGACACTTTAATCAATAATTGTTTTCCTAAACACATCATATATAGACACATTCGAAAGAGAATCAATTTTTTAAATAATCGTGACCGTAATGACAATACTGACGACAATCTTACTCGTGTAGATAAGGCTAAAATTATTACAATACCATACGTTGAGAATACGAGCCATGATCTGCACCGCCTTTTGCGAAATAACGGTTTTAGCGTTGTTTACACAATAACAAAAAAACTAAATAATTTAATTAGACGCGGTAAAGACAGATTACATAATAACGACAAGACAAGCGTTGTATATAAATTAAATTGCAAAGATTGTAACATATCATACATAGGTCAAACAAAAAGACATCTACGTACACGAGTGAAGGAACATTGTAATAATATAAAGTTACATGATTCTAATCACTCTGTAATTACCAAACACAGATTGGAATCTGGACACGAATTTGATTGGTTGAAACCCGACATCTTACATAGCGAAACGTATGTTTGAAAAAGAGAGATTGCTGAGATGTTTTTTATTGAGAGATCTGATAATCTCATCAACTTACAAACAGACACAGATAATCTAAATAATATTTATGACAAAATAATAAAGGTCACTTAGTTGTGTTTCTCCCTCGAGATTCGTTTAGTTTTTCGACGAAGTCTCACATGGACGCATCAGTCTCTCTCGTTTTTTGAATTTAATTATATAACGTTTTTTTATTTGTGACTCGTGATGGTTTTTACAAGCGTTATGTCTGCCTCCTGATTATTATATTTCATCGGTAAAATTGTTTACTCTTTAATTTGTTTGTGCTTTTTACGTATTCAAACCGTTAATTTAATGTATTTTAAATCCTTCCAGTATATACTTGATAAGGACCACAACTATATGGTCGAAACGTCGTATTAAATAAAGGAAATTTCTGGCTAGTTTGGTCGAATATAATTTTTTCAATAATCCTTTGATTATTCGACTAGCGATTATACCCTTTCTACATTTAATTAATTTGATAGTAGATTTAGCACATCAAAAATTATAAGAAAACATGCGTGAGAAAAGTTCCATCGTCACGATCAGAATCCGGTTATTTTCAGATATCAATATACACAAAGTACTATTGCATATATATTATAATGCAATGTTGCTTCAATATTACAGTATAATGTTTTTGCATAGGTGGACATTTTATTGTTATGAAATATAGCGTTGGAACAACATGTCACAATGTTTCTGCAATCTTACAAAAAGTGTTGCAATGTTGCTGCATCCGTGCCGTGCTATTTAGATATATGTCAAGTTCAAGTTAATTGAGCGAAAATCTTTTGAAAAAATCTTTTGAAATAAATATTTATCTGTTTTATTTTATCTGTGAAGTCTTTCTTATTTTTATATTATCTTTATGCTAACATTTTTCTTTTTATATTATGAGTTTTCTAAAAGGTATAATATAAAATTAGAAACATAAGAGTGAAAGAAAGAAAGAAAAGCAAGAAAGAAAGAGAAAAGGGGAAGAGAGGGAGAGGAAGAAAAAGGGAAAGAGAAAAAAGAGAGGAAGGACAGAAAGAGAAGGAGAAAAAGGAGAGAGAGAGGAAGAGAGAAAGAGAAAAAGAAAGAGTGGGAGAGGGGGAAGGTAAAACACAAAAACATAAGAGTCATTAAAAATAATTTTATTATAAAAATACATCATACTTGATAATGATAAGAAATTTATCAATTAATATGTGTGTATGACACAATATTATTTTAGAAAACTTGGTACATAATTGAAAATTAGGATTATCTATACTGCGGCCTATTCTTTTCATAACTCTATAAATAATCATAATAACGTATTAATAACGGAATTTATAAATATACTTAATAATAAATTGTACTTAATTAAACTTTAATAAATATAACATATTTTTATCATTTCAGAGAATACTAAATAAAATATTTAACTACAGGATATTTTACTTTATGATAAAATCTTGTAATATTTCTATTATTAAAGAATTTATTACTTACTTTTGTAGCTATATCCATAAGGTTTTTAGCCATTACAGAACCAGTTTGTTGTACCATATTATAAAAATATCCTTTTTGTTTTAAAAGAATATATGGATGGTCACATTCCTGAAATTAGTATCCAAAAATGTCATCGTAATTATGCTTTTATTTGAACACACACGTATACACACATATGTACGTATATATGCATGTGTATGTATGTGTACATACATATGTGCATATATGCGTGTATGTGTGCGTATATACATAGTATGTATATATATAGTATGTATATACAGAATATCTTAGAATTGGCATTACCGATTAATGATAGATTCTTGAGATCATTAAAAAATATTTTTTCCTCAACGAAGAAGATCACCTTTTTTGGCAAGTTTTTCATATGTTCCAATTTTTCATATATCTTTATAACTAAATTTTAAATTAAAATTTTAAATAAATTCCACTGTGACATTACTATAAAAACTTGCAGCATTACTGCAACGTTAAAACACAGCACATTGCAGAAATATTGGATTATTTTACAATATTACTTTAGCAATATTGCAGCAATATTTTAAAACATTGTAAAATATACATTACCAAAAAAAAGAGGGAACTTTTTGTACTCTAAAAATTGGACTATTTTCAAATCACTGAAACTTGTCGAAAAATCATTGTAAACAAAAAATTAAAAAAGCATTTTGAAGGTTGAAGTTTCAACTTTAACGCGCAGTTGGTGGCTTAAAAAATTTTTTTGTCTTCCTTATTTTGCGTTTTAAAATAGAACACTATTTAATTCCTTAAAATTACATATTTTTAATACGCCGAAATTTAATAAAAAAATTCTTTCTCGAGAAATTCAACTCAAGTTCTATAAATTACAAGGTAATTATTTACTTTAGGGGAATAACCTCTGATGACCTTGAACCTTGACATATGTTATAGAGGTCACTCTTCTGAATAACCTTCAGAAGGTTTTAGCCGTCACATGTTGTTTATTAAAAATTTATTAATGAAAAGATTTCCACGAATTATATGTAACATTCGACTATATGAATTCCTAAACAATGTTGATTTAACTTCCAAGAAGGTCAAGGTTATTTTAACTTTCTATGCAAAGCGAGGTCCGTCCCACACCACCTTTGAGTCAGCGCAAAACAAGTTCTATTATTGTATGGTTCCACATGGGTTTGCAACTTCCATGCGAAGTGTAAGACCAGTCGCCATGTAATGGCGCTAACGTTTATAGCGTTAGTACGCTACGTTTGTGGGACGCAACGCAACGTGATTGGCTGCGGAGGTGCGCGCGTTTCGAGGTGGATGATCACGACCGGCGCAGTAACAGTTGCAACCAGTTGCAGCATTGATCAGAGCAACAGTCTTTGCACGTGGTGTCCATTATTCGACATACGCAATTTATTCTTGTGGTCATGTCCGTTTCCCTCCGATAGTGTTGTGTATAATCATTGCATGAGCAGCATTAGACCGGTATACGGGCTTCGCGTTTCAGTCTTTGTTCCGCGACGACAAGGTTCACGCTTTGTATCTTTCCTATTCCAAGAATATACATATATATTTTGCCTCAGTATCTCTCGAGCTTTTCTTATATCGTTTCCTCAAATTTAAACCAATCCTTTCCTGGCTTCACCATTTCCTGACCGCGTGGTCGCTGCAAAAACCGCGGTCATAAAAATGCATCAATTGTAACTTCAGAAATGGGATTGCCTGGTTTTCCGAGATTTTTTAGGGTTTTCTTATGATTATCTAAGTCTGGTGATTTTCGCGCTTGATTGAGCTTTACAAGCTGTATAAGTTACAGCTTTCCCGCCATATTAATCCTGTAGGTGGCGAACAAAGGACAAGGCGATCATATTGGTGCGGTGTTTGTGTCGTTTCCGGGTGACTTTCTCGCCATATTATTCCTGCACGTGGTGAACAAAGGACAAGAGCCATATTGGTCCAATGTTCGTGTTCCGGTGTATAGCGTTTCCATGCAACGTTCTCGAATAATCGTGAAAAATCTACGAGTTCACGAAAACTGCCAATGTTCAAACTTTCCCGCGGGTGTTTAGACTTTTTGTAAGTGCTCGCATTTATTAGTGCGTTCTTGAAAACATTCAAACTTTTCTTTTTCTGTTTTCCCACCATCAAATTTGTGGTGCGCGATTCTTGCCGTTGCTCAAGATTTTTTCTGCATAGTTTTTTTGGTTTTTTGAAGATGTTTCGTGACCGTTTCGAGGATATATCCTTGATGAACTTAAAAAAGGAAGTGGCTAAATAATCGGAATCCGAATGTTTCCAAAAGCTGTGAAGGGTGCATAGATGCTCTATATTTTGAAAGAAACGAACTGCTTAAAGAAATGCAAATTACATTTATGCAGGACGTACATTTTTTTTTTAAATAGCTATCTGCTAGTAAATAAATTTGCGCCAGTCGTAGAGACCGTTTTACAAAATATTTTTCATAGAAATTGTAACGTTGAACACTACGTGACAATTGCAGTAATTGCCACTACAATTTTGAACAGTTCCATCTGTTCATGTGGAGAAAGACTACACTCATTAAGTTCCCATTGACTCATTGGATCAGTGGGTTTGGTTCTCTTCAATCTTCTGAATTTTCCCTCTAAGTTGAGAAGACGAATTGTTAAACGATTAGTATGGTTGGCAAGACGCAGTTTATGCCTATTCGCTGCTGACTCCCTTTCCTCAGCAACCGTGCACATTTGAAGATTATAGTGGATGTCCGATGTACGACAGTACCTCGGCGCATTGACGATGTCTCTAAGAACTTTGTTTTGGAAGGATTGGATAATTTTAATGTTCGAATTAGCACTGCATCCCTATAATTGAATGCCATATGTCTAAACAGGCTTAAGGATTTGTTTATAAAGCAATAATTTGTTGTGTATCGATAATTTGGAATTCCTTCCAATCATCCACTCCATTGAAGATCGCAGTTTATTCAACTGCTTCCGCTTTATCTTTATATGTTCTTTCCATCAAAGCTTAGCATTGAATGTTATGCCGAGGTATTTCGCCGTATTAGCGTATGGAACTACTTGTTGGTTAATGATGACCGGCAGGGGGATCTCCTTCTTTAGAAATTTATATGCTGTGACTTACTTTCATTTAATTTTATACGCCACCGTTTGATCCAGTCAACGATTTGGTTAATAGATCGTTGTAGTTTATCCGTGGCTATGACAGTGTTACTACCTGTAGCTAAAATCGCAGTATCATCAGCAAAAGTAGCCAAACGGACTTCCGAATTCATGAGAATATCAGCAGTAAATAGATACAGCAGATACAAGATAGATTCTATAACGTTACCCTGTGGAACCCCTGCTTCAATTTTCCGAAAGCTTGATAAGGCATTTTCATTTCGTACTTTAAATTTGCGATCATGAAGGTATGATTTCAATAACTCACCATATGATCTAGGGAGCATCTTATCCAGTTTAAATACCAATCCTTTGTGCCAGACCCTGTCAAATGCCTGGGATACGTCAAGTAGGACTGCAGAGCAGACTCGATCAACCTCCAGCGGCTTTTCAATTTTGTCTGTTATGCGATGAACCTGATCAATAGTAGAGTGCTTGTCACGGAATCCGAATTGATGTACGGAAATGAGATGATTTGCTTCTATAATCAGCTTCAGTTTCATGTTTATTATTTTCTCAAAGACTTTAAGGCTATAGTCAACAGAAGTGATATTGGTCTATAGCAGGTAATCACATTCAGGTTTACTCGGTTTCGGGATTGCAATTATTTCAGCTACTTTCCACTGTTTAGGGAAATATCGTAAGCGTATAGACACATTGAACAAGTGAGTCAATTTCATAATTCCCTTGAATGGTAATTCCTTTAACATTCGCACGGTAATATAATCAAAACCAGGAGCCTTTTTTAAGTTTAGCTGATTTATCTCGTTTTGAACTTCCTTGGGGGAAACATGCTTGATAGGGGAATCATCTTTAACCTCAACAATAAGTTGATCCGGATCTGCAGGAGAATTATGGTTGGAAAACACTCTCCAAATGATCAGCATAAAGGTCAGCTTTTTCCTGATTGTTTTTGGCCCAAGTATTATCGGGTTTCTTAATGGGCGGAGCGTTAATAATTGGTCTCCTAATACGTTTGGTTACTCTCCAAAGGGAGTAGTTGGAGTCCTCTTCAGCTGAGAGTCCTTAGAGGTAATTTGCAATACCTTGATTTTTTATCTCATGAAGAAATCTTTTTAATTTTTGATTTAATTTGTTATAAGTGGATTTACGCACGGGATCGCGTGATCTCTGCCAGTCTCTACGCGCTTTCTTTTTTACCCTTATCATTTCCTTGACCTCAATAGAAAAACTTGCAGTGTGCTTCGCTTTAACAAATACTTGAGAGTTTATTTTACTTGCATGTTGGAGCTGTTCAGTAAACAGCTTCGCATCATTTTCAACTTGATCAGATGCTTTAAGCAAAGTATTCAGCTTAATATCACAGTATATACAGTAGCGCAACTCTCCCGATTTTGTGTAGCATAAAATGAAATGCGCATGCGTAAAGTCAGCGAGTATACCAGTACTGCCATCTGCACTTCCCTCTCACTCTCTCCTTTGGTTTTCGTTCTCTTTCTAACACATTATAATATGTAATATAAATTAAATTCAATAAAACTTGAATATATGTACATAAAGAAATCGTGAAAAATATAATATAAAATATGCAAACATATATAAAAAATAATATATATGACATGATGTGACATATATAAAAAATAATATATATGACATGATGTGAATATTAATTAACCATTTTATATGTCACATATAACTGATAGCAGAAAAGAATGAAAAGATATATACTCATAATACTCATATATAATTTATAATATATTTACATATTAATACTTATATATATAATTTTTAATATATTTATATATTAATTGTACATACATATATTCTATATATATATATATATATATATATATATATATATATTCAAAAACTTAAAATTAAAAAAAAACATTTAGATTAAGACTACAATCACTTAAAGTTTATTATATAAAATATATATATTTATGATTAAAATGAAGAAAGAAACAAGAAATATATATTTGTTAATAATATATATTA